ATGGTGGCCCAACTTTTGCAAATGCGGATTTGTCTAGGCCACCAGTTCAAAATGAGCTAGAAACCACACGGTATAATAGGTCATTTCTTGGGCATTTCTACATGGTGGCCTAGAAAAACGCAACTTGCCAAAGTTAGGCCATCATGCTAAAATCGGGTTTTTCATGATTTTTGGGTCAATTTTTATGATTTTTTACCCATTTTTACGGTACCTGCAACAGCTTCTCCCACTCCTCGACACTAATCAGTGATAAATTGACAATCTCATCCAGAATCTCTCCTCTCGCCTTATCATACAACTCGTCTCGATTCAACTGTCGAATTCTCAGAAAATGATTCTTCCACTCGGCTTCCAAATTGAATTTGGCCGCTCTGAAGGCGTCAGTTTGAGATTCAATCGAGTCGCGAACCATGCGCCAGAAGCAGTCCGACACCGCCAGTGACATATTCCTCGTTGTCATTTGGGACGGCTTCAGAACGCCGTCTCTGAGGAGTTGGCTGAAAATCCGAGAATTCTGCGATTGCGAAACACCCGATTTTCAAATTTCCCGCCCTGGAAAACCACAAAAAACTTTTTAAAAAATTTCAAAAAAACATTTTTTTCATAAGGCCACCCATGAGAGTCGAACCCGCGACCTCTAGATCCAAATTTCAAAGTTTTGAACCCCAAAAAACTTCAAAAAAAAAAACAAAAAAAATTTGCCACCGGTGGGATTCGAACCCGGGACTCCTAGATTCAAGTTGGTCGAATTTTTGGAAAAAGTTGCTAAAAAGCCGATTTTTGAGGGTTTTTGGGTCATTTTTCATGTATTTTTATTGTTCAAACATGCCTGGAATTGAAAAACGTCTCCTCGTATTTCCGAATCTCATCGATAGAATCCGATGAGTTTCCTCGCCCCGTGACAACGCCAAAATAGCCTAGGGCCTTCATCGGGAACAGTTTGCCTTCTAGAATCTTCTTAATTCGATCCGGATTCGCTAGGTTCTTTTCAGCCATGTCCACCTTGGTTAGCACTAGGATTGTACGTTTTCCTGATGGATCGATGGACGAGACGAGGTCGGTGACGTTGCTTCGTTCCGCGTCGACGGATCTGGAATTTTCAGCATTTTCAGATATTTTGCAGAATTTCGGGAAACGCTTCTTTTCACATAATTCTGTCCAACTTTCAACTTTCTAGCTCATCTAGGAGCCGAGATATATCCATTTGAAGTTTCGAGAGGCTAGAGACGCCAGACGACGAGACACACTGCGTCTCTAACCTCCCAAAAATTCTAATCGCTGTATCTCGGGTTCTAGGAGAGCTAGAAAGCTGGAAATTGGACAGAATTGTGTGAAAATGAGCATATTTTGTAGAAATTTGCGTTTTCTGAAAATTTGGAAATTTCCAAAAATCTCGATTCAAGAATCTCCAGTTTTTTGTGAAAACGCCGAAAATCCCCTGAAATTTCTGAAACGATGAAATCTGAAATTTCAACATTTCATAACAAAAATTGAGCTTAAATAGGTCAAAAATGGAGTGTTTTCGTCCACGGCCCAGACCGCGGCCGCCCATTTTAGTTGCAAAATATGCTCCTTGAAATTTTACACACTTCTGTCCAATTTTCAGTTTTCTAGCTCACCTAGGAGACGAGATACAGCGATTTGAAGGTTGAAAGGCTAGAGACGCAGTGTGTCTCGTCGTNTGGCCTCTCTAGCCTCCCTAAACTTCAAATGGCCATATCTCGGGTTCTAGATGAGCTAGAAAGTTGAAAATTGGACAGAAACGTTGGAAATTTCTATGGTTTTTTGGGAAATTCAGAATTCTCGACAATCTAGAATCCAAATATCCCAAAATTCTAAAACCCCAAAAATCCCATAAAATCGAAATTTCACAAAAATCGAATTTTGAGTAATTGCGGCCGTTTTAGAACGTTTTTGACGTTTCTAGAGAAATTTTAGATGATTTTTAGGCAATTTTCAAAAGTTTCAGAAAACTTCACAAAGTTGAAATTTCTAAAAAATATGAAAATTCCAAAAATCAAAATTTTTGAATTTTTCAAAATTTTGGGATTTTCGAAAAGTTCCAAAACTAACCCATCCTGAATGCACAAAATAATGGCATTGGGGTTCTCCATGTGCGCCTTGCTCATCCTAATAATATCGTCTTTCGTCTCCCGAGCCATATCGGCGGTTACTGTAGAGATGACACCTGGCAGATCGACAAGTACCATACGTGGCAAATTGGGTCCTTTTACAGTAAGCGAAATCACTTCATTGGATACGGTTTTTCCATCTCTAACCGAATTTCTCATACGCACTTCTGTCTCGTTCCGGAGCTGCTGGAGATCCGATTCTTTGGTTAAATCGAACTCTCGAGACGAATCACGGAATTGCGCAACGTGGTACGGTCCTTCCGAGAGGGTTACCTGGAACAAATCTGCTAAAAAAGACCGGAAAAAATTTTTTCAAACATTTTTTTTTCGTTGCCACTGGTGGGAGTCGAACCCGCGACCTCTAGTTTCAAATTTCAAACTTTTTAAACTCAAAATTCTTCGAAAAACAAAAAACAAAAAAAAGTTACCACCCATGGGATTCGAACCTGGGACCTCTAGATCCAAATGTGCTAGTCCAAAATCCCACTAGGCCATGTGTGCAATTTTTGGAAAATTCTCTAAAAAGACGATTTTTTTTGGCCTTTTGGGGTCAAAAATTGGGTTTGAAATAGTTTTTCGGGCTAAAAATGTGTATACCTTCGCCCTGGATACAGGAAACCTCGAAAAAAATTTTCAAAATTTCTGAAAAAATTTTACCACCCATGGGAGTCGAACCCGCGACCTCTAGATCCAAATTTCAAAGTTTTGAAATCCAAAACAATTCGAAAAACAAAAAACAAAAAAAAGTTACCACCCATGGGATTCGAACCTGGGACCTCTAGATCCAAATGTGCTAGTCCAAAATCCCACTAGGCCATGTGTGCAATTTTTGGAAAAATTCGCTAAAAAGTCGACTTTCGGCCTAGAAACTCGATTTTTGAGTTTCCTAGGCCAGTCTGGGGCATTTTTGACGATTTTCAGCCAATTTTCAGTCGATTTCTCACCTTGACCGGCGCCCTCGTCATCATTTCTCCACTGCCACGTGGAAAAATGCGCGCCTGAGCGACCATTTCCAGGACGGACGTCTTTCCTGCACTCTGATCTCCCACAACGACGACACGTGGCAAATTGTCGGATGTGTTGTACGATGAGTCGTACTCGTTGAGCAGGTCCAACACCTCACTGTACATATCGATCAGGGATCTCTGTAAATTTAGAATTTGGGGGGGGGGGGGTGGCCTAGAATTCTGGCCTAGAAATCTGAAAATTTTCGTGATGGCCTAACTTTTGCAAGTCGAGTTTTCTAGGCCATTACGCTAAAATGGCCTAGAAACCACACCGGGCGTATATTAGGTCACTTCTGGGGCATTTCTACATGATGGCCTAGAAAA